GTGCTCTAGAGCTCCAGCATAATGGGAAACAGAGCTGTAAGCCATACTGCTGGACAAGCACACAAGAGTCTGCATCTGAGAAACAGTCAGATGGTTGTGTTTTTGGGTGATCAGAACACACAAAACACATCCAAGCTTCAAAATCACAGGATTGGTTTAAAAGGTGTGACAGGATTGGATTTCTGCCTAGTGCTCTTCCAAATCTCTGCTTCTTCATCCTCGACCCACCATCTAATAGCCAGGAAATCTGCTTTCTTAAAAATTATTTAGATTAATAAAACTTACATGATCTGGGAGTGGCGCTTTAGGGAAATCCCTGCCAAATGTTGCATGTTGACAACTGCACAAAAGCTTCCTTTGGGGTCTTCTGCTCTAGTTTCAGGTTTGCTTTTCACAGGTTTATCCAGCACATTCAATATGAAATGAATCCCATACATTTTCTTCTAAGTATGTGTATTGTTGTCAACCAGGGAAAACTGAAATATAGGATGTTTGAGAGAAGTTCAAGTATCAACTGATTTGTCTCAATTTATTTCACTCAATCTAAGTTTTCAGCTGTAACCCAAATCCGGTTGGTATACATGCTCTGCATTAAATATGTATATATATTTGCATATATATACGCCCAGGGTTTCAGCACATTGGACCAAATTTTGCCTTGAATTATATGCCACTGACTTCAACAGAATCTCCTAAGAATATACATAAAAATATGCAAAACTAGATCCATCCCTGCTGCATAGTCTACTATCATACTACTATAATACTGCTCATTCCTTTCATGGATTTTCCTTCCCTTTGGCCCCATGCTTAAGTCTTTGGCAGGTTAAGAATGAGGCAAATTATCTGGAAACAGCTTGTCTTTACTGATCCTCATTCACTGCATAAATTACACAGTGTAGTCCTGTGAGATAAATGAAGGATAAATTTTTGCTAGTATCTCATACTTCAGCACTAATTCACAAGTTCTAAAGACACAGGCACCTTTATCACTTGTGTGCTTCCAAAACGTTTTAAAACTTTGAAGGAGCACAAAATCTTCTATTCCCTTCTGAGCAACTCATATTCTTTAAAAGACTACATTGCTTTCCTTTTCTTTTCAATTTCTCTCTGCTGTTTGCAAATTGATCCTTATTGACTCTATGAACTCACGACAGTTATGCTTGGAAATTCATTGGAGTGCCACCAGACCTATTACTTTTGGGACTTCATAGCTGCATAAATAAAATATCAGCTAACTGAATATATTAGCCATAGAAGGGAATATACAAAATCACCTATATTTAAGGGAAAATGATAGGCACAATTCAAATAATTCACTCAGCAAAGAGGAGAAGTGCATAAATATCCACAAAAGCCAGTGCATTAGTTCTCCGTGTAGACTAAATTAAATTTACTTGGAAAAATTAACTACAACGTATTAGCTTAGATTTCATAACAACGATTGTATTGCTTTTCATATTTATAAAAGTCTTTCCTCAAATGTTTTTCTTACGCAGGTGCACCGTTTCCTATCTTACTTGCGATCTCGGGCTTTTGTTTTGCACCGACTGGAAAGCTACGCTGCTCTGCCACCTAGTGCTTTCGAGAAGGGTATTTTGTACCAAAGGCCAGCTCTTACTGTTCAGTGTGTTCAACAGAATAGATGAGGATTGTGCAGAAACATTTTATTCACATTTTCTTGCTAAATAGGCGATCAAGGAGAAACTTGGTTTAGCAGCTCCTGAAGACATCGTAATTGATCGCTGCCAGAGATCGACTCCATGTCTGCAGATCTTTGTAGGATACAAAATTGATTAGCAACCTGCATCCTTGTATTTTAGGAGGTTAGATCATCTTCCTGAATTTTTAAAAGTGTAAAATAAAATAATTTTTTACCTAACATCCCTATGGAAGAAAAAATATAATCAAATATCACATGATCACATGAAATTTTTAGACAAAAAAATGTCTATTTCAACTACTAGCAGGTACCCAAAGAATCAAATGGCACATGTAAATGGATTCTAGATTACAGCATTTGCAACAACCAGCTTGCTTTTCATTAATTTTGAGGGTTTCAAAAAGTGCATGTTTCTGTATTAGCACCATTGCCATTTATATTTCTTTCAAAATTACAAATAAACAGGGCTTATTTCAAGTAACAGACTATGCCACATATTGTAGAGGAATTTTAATTTTTTAATTTTTTTTAAGTGAAAGAGCTTTGCATTGTCAGAGTTAATGCAGCAAAGCTCTGTAAATGAGCTTTTCTTTGCTCTTCTTTTGAAGGAAAAGTCATTCAAACTAAACTGCTCTCTCACTGAAGATAATTTCTTTTATGGAAAATGAATTGGTTCTATATCAATTGCATCTGTGAATCTACAGTATTTGTCAGTTGGTTCTAATTTTTCCTTTAGACACCATGAATACCAGATACTTTACTGACTTTCCCCTCACATTACTCAGAAATGACTGTGAAACATTATCAAGCGTCTCTTCTTGTCCGGATTGCACAAAAGGGGGTACTAACATAAGCTGTATGGCTATGAAATGAATCACAGAATGGCTGGGGTTGGAAGGGACCTCTGGAGATTATCTAGTCCAAACCTCTTCCTAAAGCAGGTTCGTGTAGAGCAGGTTGTATGGGATAGCATCCAGGCAGGTTTTGATTATCTCCAGCCTCTCTGGGCAGCCTGTTCTAGTGCTCAGCCATACTCACAATGAAGTTTTTCCTCATATTCAGATGGATATTCAGATATTCATATTCATTCTTGCCTTTGCAGAACTTCATTAGGCTCCTCTCCAACCGACTCTCCAGCCTGTCCAGGTCTCACAGAACAGTTGCACAGCACCCTGAGGTATCAGCCACTCCTCCCAGTTTTGTATCAGCAAACTTGCTGAGGGTGCACACTCTGCCCTCATCCAGGCCAATCCTAAGTGGAACAAGACTGGAGCCAGTACTGAGCCCTGGGGAAGGCTGTAGCTACAGTCATCTGGCTGCACTCTGATCGCAGCCCTCTGGGATCTGCCCTTCAGCCAGCTCTTGCCCATGAGAATAATGTGGAAGACAGTGTCAAAAGCCTTGCTGAAGTCAAGGCAGACATTATCCACTGCTCTCCCCTCATGTACCCAACCAGTCATTCCATCATACAAAGCTATTGGATTGGCCAAGCATGATTTCTCCTTGGTGGATCCATGCTACTGCTTCTGACAGCCTTCTTTTTCTCTGCATTCTTAGAGATGATAACCAGGATGAGCCACTCCATCCCCTTCCAGGAATTAGGGAGAGGTTAACTGGTCTTTAGCTCCCTGGGTCTTCCTTCTTGCTCTTTTTGAGGTTCCTCATGTTCTCAGGCACTTCTTCTCTTCTTCTCGATCTTACAAAGATGATGGAGAGTGGTTTAGCAATAACATCCCCCAGCTCCTTCAGCACTTCAGGGTGCATCCCATCAGGGTCCATGGATTCATGGGAGTCAAGTTTGCCTTGACACCCACAACTCTGATCTGATCCTCCTCAATCAACACAAAATCTTCCTTTCTCCAGACTTTCTCATTTGCCTACAGGTTAGGGATTCCTGAGGGCTGCATTAATGGTGAAGACTGAAGTAAAAAAGACATTCAGTAAGTCTGCCTTCCCCATATCCTTTGTCACCATCAGCAGTGGGTCCACGTGTTCTCTGGTCTTCCTTTTGCTACTGATGTAACTTGAAGGAGCCCCTCTTGCTGTCTTAATACACTGCAGCTATTTTGTTACCTTGATCTCCTGCTCCCTACCCAGTTCTCTAGGCTCCCACTCCTGCCTAGAGCCCTAAAGTAATGGGATTCCTCCAAGTAGGAGTCATTACCTAACCAGGACATGGCAAGTATCTTAAAATATCTTGTATTGACACAGCCTCACTTTACTCGTGTTCCATAAGGACTCCATTTTCAAAGCATCTTCATTGCTTCACCAACACTGTAATGCAATAAACTGCACATGCAATGTACTGATGATTATCGTAATTTTTACTCCATTAGCAGGAGCTGCATGTCCCCCTTCATGTTTAAAGAAAAATAGTGGGTTTTTTTTTAATGGTACCTCTGTGTTTCTGAGAAATTAGCCGATGATTCACAATATTACAGGTTAATTTCTCTAGAGAACTGTCAAAAATGTTAATATACAAAAAGTAACTAAGACAGTATAAGTGGTAAAGTGTAATTGGTCCTATAATATGTGGACTAAAAAACCAGAAAACCCCCACCCTTCCCTAAAATATACTGTCCAGAGGGAAAGGTGTATATGTATCTGTCTTACTGCTTGGCTAATCTCACCTCTGGTATGTCAGTCTCATCCCATACAGCTCTGTCAAGTCAGCTTTCCACTCTGCCTCCTGCTTGCCATCTTTTATTTGCTTCACTTCTGAAAAAGTGAAAACCAGATATGAGTGGAATAAATCCTCTTTGGACAAATCAGAAGGACTTATGTTGTTTGCTTGGATACTGTCAACTAAATGGCGTCCCTTCAGACTTATCAGCTTTCGTTCCTACATCTGTTCCTACCAGTTATGCTTCAGAATGTGGCACCCAGAAGCAAAAGTGAAGCATTCCAGCACTCACAAGCCCACTCCTTAAGAGGTGTAAGGAGCTCAGCCAAGTACAAATGAAGGCTATTATGGAAAGCATGCTCCTGTGCCCTCCACATTCATATTCCTATGGTCCACATTGCCACTTTTCTGACCCTAACACAAGCCAAGCTACAGGGAGGTCCCCACTAAAAAAAACAAGATGTATGAAGTCAGGGAATACAGGGAACCAGTTCTAAGTCAGCACAATTTCCTGAACCAGGACAGCACAGGACCATATACACTTTAGCTCCACGGAAACACAGGGGCAAGCCAGACCAGGTTGGCGCAGTCCTGCATTTTTTGGCAGCAAATTGGGCTGTCCGAGCCGTAATACCAAAGGGTACCGTTTGCATCCTGAAATTCTTTCTCCCTTGGAACCAGCAGCAACCAAAACCAAAAAGCAGATTTCCCCAGAAAACTTAATATACTTTATTGTACGTTTGTGAATGTTTTCCCTTTATTAAGATGTTATTTACAAAACCAGCACAGAACATCAGCATGTCAGTTATTCAGTGTACCCTATGCAGACGTCCAAATCCAAAGTAGATCCCAATTTCTCTCTGTTGACTGCTGTGATGTATCACTGAGAAGCACTTCTGTATGCTACAGAAACAACACCTGACTGCAAATCATATAGCATGACACAAATCAAGCAGACTTGCCAAAAGTCCGTAGGTGTTCTGTATTGACACTGAGCGAAGGAGAAAACATTCTTGAAAGAATCTTTGAAAATCAAATTTTTCTCTTGCTGCAGCAACTGTTTTTGTTAGCACTGAATCTCTAGCATCAATTTTGAACAAACCAAGATGGACGTTTCCTGGCTCTTTCAATGATCCGTTTGCCTTCATCTTCTTCTGAAGGCTTTTCTCCGTCATAAAGGACAACAGTCTCTACAGTTGGAGCTTTAAATGGTCCTCCTTCCTTTTTGCCCATTTCCACCCGTATCAGACGAGTTTCTGCTTTGACCTTTGCGTAGCAATAGCCACAAAGGACATGCTTCTGTTTCAAGTTCCCACACTCAGGACAAACATCTATGTTCCTCTGAAACGATAGTGGAAAACAGGGAATTTTATCATTTGAACAGCAGCAACAAAAAGAAAAGGGAAGCAATCACAAACTACTAAAAAATTTACATGAAATACCAGAAAGGTTCAATTACCACCTAAAAATCTACTCCTCTATATAATTTATCTGTAATGTGTTGCTATGTCAAATGCTTCTAACTAAAAGCAGTCTGTGAAGTCGGTATCTAAGTCACTATGCTCATTGATAATGACTCAATTAGATGCACAGAAAGCACAGGGCTTTTCCACTTACACTACCTGTTCAGCCAAAATTCACATTTTGTTGGCTTGCACCTAAAGTCTCACTGTTTATTTAGCGACAGACTACTGTCACACATGATGAATGCACCTCTTCCAAAGGATTTTAAGGCTTAGAGTCTTTTACACTTCTTTATTTATAAACAAAGCCCAGAAAACTTTTTCAGTCAGCACTGACAACTGCCGACGATTCTCTAAGACAAGCGAGGTGTAAAAAAACGCCCAGTCTAAACATTACTCCGCCCTGTTTGCCACCAGCAAAATTACTCGCGGTGGGTACGGTGCCAAGGCAGCGAAAACTCGCTGATTACCTTCTCTGCTATGAGCTTGCTGGGATGCCTCCGCCGGCAGCGGTTCACCTCGATGGTGCGCCGTTTCTTGGGCACTGCCATCCACAGGATGCTCTCCGACAGACCCGGCCCTTCGGCGCTGCTTTCGCCAGCGCCGTTTGCTGCTGGTGGAAGAACCGCTGGAGCTTGCACAGCTAGCGCGGGTCCTGAAGGAGAAAGAAAAAGAGGGAGGGTATTGTCCCGCTCTGCTCTGCACTGGTGCGGTCTCACCTTGAATATTGTGTCACTGCAGTTTTGGTCACTGCAACATAAGAAGGACATTAAGCTCTTAGAGAGTGTCCAAAGGAGGGCAACAAAGGTGGTGAAGGGACTTGAGGGGAAGCCGTATGAGGAGAGGGTGAGGTCACTCGGCCTGTCCAGCCTGGAGAAGACTGAGGGGAGACCTCACTGCAGTTTAACAACCTCCTCGTGATGGGAAGAGGAGGAGCAGGCGTCTCTTCTCTGTGGGGACCAGTGACAGGACCATGGGAATGGCCTGAAGTTGTATCAGCAGAAGTTTAGGTTGGATCTTAGGAAAAGGTTTTTCACCCAGAGAGTGGTTGGGCGCTGGAAGAGGCTCCCCAGGGCAGTGGTCACAGCATCACGCCTGACAGAGTTCAGAAGTGTTTGGACAATACTCTCAAGCACACAGTGTGACTCGTGGGCTTGTCCTGTGCGGGGCCAGGAGTTGGACTCAATGATCCACGTGGGTCCCTTCCAACTTAGCATGTTCTGTGTTTCTGCAAAACACGAATTCCTTACAGCCAGGCCCCATTTTCGCGGGCGGCCGCGGGAACACGACACGGCGCTGCCGCCACTCCCGAAGGAAGGCGGCCAGAGCGGCGGCCCCCGCCCCGCGCCCTCACTGACCCCAGGGCCGCGCCCCCGCCCTTCAAAGGTAAAACGAGTCCCGCAGCCCCGAACCACAGAATTGTAGAGATGCAAGTGGTCTCCGGAGATCGTCTAGTCCACCCCCCCGACTAAGGCAGGGTCACTTAGAGCAGGTGGCACAGGAACGCGCCCTGTTCCTTCAGCTGGGCAGAGAGCAGGCCGGAACTTACCCCAGGGCGGGCTCCGGCCCCCAAGGCCGCCCGGCAAGAGGCCGCGCTCCAGCCGCGCCCAGCAGCGCTGGAGGAGAGCGCGGAGCGGCGGCAGCGGAGAGCGGACCAGCACCAGCACCGCCATGGCCGCGCACAGCCCTCCGGAGGAGCGCGCCTGTCGCTGAGCCTCCTGGGAAACCGAGTGCCCGCCGCACGCTGCAGCACGGCCAGGACATAGGGAGGGAACTCCAACTCCCAGCATTCCTGTCGCTGCCCGGAGGGAGGGGCAGGGGCAGGTGCCCGCAGGACTCCAACTCCCAGCGCTCCTCACGGCGCGCCTCTCCGCCAACTGCGTCCCGGCAGGCTCCGCCACGCGCCGCCGCCGCGCCAATCAGCGCGCTCGCCGCGCCCTCGCGCAGGGAGCGGGAGCGGCGGCCGCGCGTGCGCGCGAGGGAGCCGGCGCGGAGAGCGCAGGGGCTGGTGCCAAGATGGCGGAGCGCGGCTACAGCTTCTCCCTCACCACCTTCAGGTGCCGGCGCAGGGGCGGCTGCACACCCGGGGGCAGCGGCGGGCGGGCTGCCGGGCCAGCGGGAGGGCGGCGCGCAGACTGCGCCGAGCGGCCGGACGGCGGCGGCGACGCAGCACCGAGGGGTCGCTTTGCAGAGTCATCGGGCCTGCGGGCGGGCGCTGGGGGGCAGCGGGGGCCGGACCCGCACAGGAGGGGCGAGTGTGGGTATCGGGCGGTGTTGATTTTGGCCGAGGGGGGACACGTAGCTGCACAGACTCTTGCCGAGGGCGGAGGCTGCGGGAGTCCCGGCTCTCACCGTCTGTCTGTCGCTGACCTCGGGGCCCGGTGCGGGCGCTGCTTGTGTCTCCTCGTTGCGGGCCAAGCTAAGGTCTGTCTCGGCACTGGCCCTGCAGCGAGTGCTTGGTGAAACGGCTTAGGAAACTCAGGTCCCCCCACACACACATACTCTTTAGGCTGGAGAGTAATTCTGTGGTTCTGAGCTAACTGGAAATGCGTGATGATAGCTGAGCTGTGGTATCTTGAGAGCTTGCTTCATAACGGGCCTCGCAGATGCGGGAATGAATGAAGCAGATGACTTATAAAAATAGTATATTTCCCTTCTTGAAGCAGACGAGTTATAAAGTAGTATATTTCCCTTCCTGCAGTCCCTGCTTTCTGTGCGCTTCGTGTTGTGCACAGCCTGCATGTGGGATGGTTGCATGAATACACTGCTGTTGGAGTGGTGTCTGTTGAGATGTTGCTCTAATACTCAGATTTAAGATTAATTCAGAGAAATGGAGATTACTTTCCATTCATTTTTTGATGGAACTATTAAGATACCCAAGACTATGTTATACATATAAAAAAGAAAAACTACCAAAAAAGCAAGAACCTTTATGCAGCTTGTGGTGAAGTTAGACCCCCTTAACCTCAGAGGACAGTCGTGCTGTGTAATTGCAGATTGAGTTGCTAAAGGCTTGTTGCAGTTAAGCAAATGAAGCAGTTTGTGACCTAAAATGATGAAAAGAATGTTCTTGATGGATGGAAGCAGCCCAGCATGCTTGCTGTGCTCCAGCAGGTTGAATTCTCTATTAGCTTTCAGAAATGGTTTCCTCGGGGAGTTACAAACTTCTTGCATTGCCCAGAATGTGCACTATGTGCTCGGAACTGTTGTTCTGATTTGTTAGTATTTTGTAGTGGAGAAGCCAGAATTATTACTTTGTCACCTTTATAACCTGTTTCCTCAGTGTATAAATGACTACACTGATTGGTTACGGCTTGCTTTGTGCTTTCTGACTCATCTAAGCACCAGGTTACATAATTTTCTATTTTACTTCTGCAACTGTTAAAGCAGTCGTGTCTGAAACACAGCCCAGGGAGTAGATCCCACTTGCAAAATCACTTGTCCAGTGAGTGGCTGTCTCTGTGCTGTTCTTTTTCCTGGGGGTCAAGAACAGACCCCTTGATCCCGCTGCTTATGAG